AAAAGCATTGATATAATAAAAACAGCAGGAGAGTACTCAACTGTAACCAACTAAGAAGTCACCTTCAGAAATCGAGTCAATCTGTCCATGGCCAGAGCAGACATCTTTAAGGGCACACATGGAGACCATCAAATTTGAAACTAGGTGTCAAACAAGAGGCAGGGAAGCAAGGACTGAAAATGAATGGCAAAACCAAAACATTTAAGAAAAAGGACAAAGAAAGTTCTCAAGCTCTTACTGATAAAAAAAAAAAAGTTCTCAAGCTCTTACATCTTATATTGCATCAATACCACAAATAAAATACTACATCAGCATAACAGTCTTTAAGCACAGTTAGCAAATACCTAGCAAGGGTACTGAAACTACTAAAATCTGGTCAATCTTTTCATCGCCAAAGCAGACATCTTTAAGAGCAAATATAGAGACTACTGAAAAAAGGAATCAAATTTGAGGTAGGGCAACAAGGGCTAGAAATGAATGGCAAAACTGAACAATTAAGGAAAACTTAAAAAGGACAAAGAAAGCTCTAAAATTTCCCCCTGTAGTTGTCTCAATACACATGCAACTGGCGCAACACGATTTTTGCTAAATCCCCTAAGGTAAACAGAAGGTAGCACGCAATAGGTAATGCATGATTCATAGTTACACTACTAAATTTTTTAAATAAGTGAACCTAATGTTGATGAAAAAAAAAAGGCAAATACAGTTTAATGTTGATGATGCACAGAAAAAAAAAAAAAAGAGACAAAAAAAAGGCAAAGGGAGAAGAGAAGTGCCCTCTGACCTGAATGCTAGCCCTTGGGCAATTCTGAGAATATAAAGTAACAGAGTGTGCCGCTACTGTTGATGAAAGTAAGTCTCGGTTTTTGTTGATGATGATAATGTTGCTGAATGAAATTTGAGGAGATATGCAAATGCAATAAATTGAAATACATATTACAAGAAAAGCAAATACAGTTTCAAGTCTTTTTCCCACACAGTTTCAAAGACAACATTACAAAGACAATAAAAAAACAAGCATTTCCAGTTTTCCACTTAAAATTGGACATATTTAAACACACAACACACACAGCAAAAGAAAAACAAAGATTATATTACATGGAAAACGCAATAGCAACAGCAACTAGCGCATATGTGATTTCCTCCAACTTTCTTGTGGTTACCGAGCCAAATCCCAATTGCTGCCAATGGGGGAGAAAAGAATAGATGAGAGAGAGAGAGATTTATTAAGAATGGAAAACTCATCCTGAGTTGAATCAGAAATGGAAAGTTGAAGATTAAAAGGCTTACATTTGCGGTGCGCCCTACCACCATGTCTGCTGAAATTTACAGAAGGGGAAAAGGATGTCTTTTGCATTGGGATGGTCCCATTCCAATGATTCCCACCATTCTTTTGGGAATACCACAATTTCTTTGAGGGAAGGAGGATGAGATGATTGGGCATTGTCAAGGGAGGGAAAATTCAGAGGAATCCTCTTTAGCTTCTCACAATGGGAAATCGTCAGACTCTGGATGGAATCACAAATCAACACACTGGAGCTGCTGCAGATGCTCTTCAATAAGGGCAAACTTGTCAATTCCAACCTTTCTAACTTGGGTAGAGTGACTTTTTCTTCTTCATGTGCCGATGACGATATCAGCTCCTCCATTTGCGAACACCTTGAAACCTCAATAGTCTTTAGGGATTGGAAGTAGTGGAGCAGCCATCCAGATGAGAATACCTTCTTTAATTGATCACAGTGTTCAACCCTAATTTCTTTAAGAGAGAAAAAGCTTGTGGGAGGTACACGTGGCGATAAACCAAGACCTTCTTGATGGAATCACAAATCAAAGAACCGCTATAGATGGTCTTCAATAAGGGCAAAATTGTCAATTTCAACCTTTCCAAGTTGGGTAGAGTGACTTTTTCTCCTTCTTTAGATTCAGACCCTATTATCTCCTCCAGTTGCTCACAATTCCAAACCTCAACAGTCTGTAGTTTCTGGAGATATCCCAACCACCTTACCGAGCATAACTTCTTTATTTTATTACAATGCCCAACACTAATATATTGAAGAGAGGAAAATGTGCCAGCTGGTAGCGATGCTGACTCAGCAATTGCTCCTACTTCCCCAAACACCATATTCAAGTTATGCAAAGAATCAAGATGCAGCTTCTCAAGGTTTTGAAGCTTCCCCCAAATTCCAATCGTCTCCAATTTAAATTCTGTTGCGGCATGGAGATTGGCAATTACTAGTAAATGCTGAAGTTTGGAGAGATTTTGTAGCGGTTCATCAAGAGTTTCAGATAATCTTCCACCAAGACCAAGATATTTTAGATTTGTTAACATGTTGAGGCCTTGCGGTAGTTCTTCAATTGATGTCCTTAAAAGGTCCAACTTTTTTAACCCTACAAGGTTGGATAATGCTGGTACCTCTCTTAAGGAATAACATTCACATAGCAATAATGTAGTAAGCTTCTCCAATTTGGAGATAGAACTCGGCAGCCTACATAGGTGACGATTCCAGGAAAGATCAAGGATCTTGAGCCCAAGCATATGCTCAAAAAAGGCTTCTGGAATTGTTGAAATGTAATTATCAGACAACAGCAAGGTTGTGAGCATAGGACACTTTGGAGACGGCATGCTTGAAGGAATTTCTGTTATGTGATTCCTCATTAAAGAAACCTTCAAAAGATTTTCTCTCCATTCATGCTCCTCTGGTAACTTCTCCAAGG